CTCCTTCCTGTTTTTACATTGCTGGTGGACAGATTATGAGCCAAGTACCATAATGTTATTAGTCTTGGTTCAAATATGAAATCAGTAACTCAGTGGGATATTGTTGTTTTAACTTTGAATTTTTACAGTGGTGCAAAATGTTTCAACAACCCATCTTTTTGAAGGTTTAGGCAGGTTTGTGTGCATGTGCTGATGGTGTACAAAAGTTGTGGTGTGAGAGACTGTGAGAAACTCATAACCATTAAACAGCCCGTGTGTTTCAGGATGATGGGGTAGTGTAATAATGATGAAGAAGATAATGTAAAGATAATACAGGTGCCAAAAAAACAGGATGCGGTTAGAAGTCAAAATGTGATAATCAAACTTGACAGAGCAACTGCTGTATAAAAGATCCATTTCACACTTGTGCCAACACAACTTCACCTTTTTGCTGGCATCATGCTCAGTCTGCAAAAGATCCTGCTCCTCCATGTTCTGGCATGTCTCGGATGACTCGGTAAGATCTGCAAAACTTTGTTATTGTCCTCTGATCGTTTAATGGAACGTTAACTTCATTTTGATTTCCTTTATTTTACTTTTTCAGTACATGGAAGTGACATCATAGATGGTAAAAAAAAAAGCCCCAGAGAACTCGATGCAGTACATGGCCTCTTTGCAGGACTACAACGGTCACCATGTTTGTGGAGGATTTCTCATCACTGAAGACTTTGTAGTCTCGGCTGCACACTGTGCTGGATATGAACAGAGGTTGAAAGAGTACTAAAATATTCTACTGAAGTAAAAGTAATATTACTTTGATGAAATTTGTGGTAAAATGTGGTATATATTTGTGGTTGAAGTATTTACAGTACAACACAGGAGTTATGATATGAGAGCTGACATTTCTGTGCGTCTCCAGCTGTTTGAGAAGGTTCAGCCAGGCTAAATGACTCACCTTCCATGTGCTGAAGTAAACCTACGAGACAATGAAATGTGTCCGCTGGCTCTCACTTACACTTACTTACTTAAGTCTTTTAATAAATTGTGCTGAAGTTCTACAATGTCCTTTGATTTGACAAAGCCAAGCTCTGTTAACTTCTCCTTCATGATCATGATAATGACAGCGCTCACTGGATTGATCAATACTCAGATGGGACCATTGTGCGGTCCTCACCCTGAGTTTCACAGTTTTCACAAGCTAGACAGCAAGATAACGATGCTTCAGTTAACAGAATTATTTTCGTTTTGTGCTGATTTTTTAATGAATGGCCTCTGACAACTGCCTTCTCTTTGACCCTCGTAAAACTGAAAACATACAAAATATTGCATTAGCTAACTAACATCGCAAACTAGCTTGTTACACGCTTACTGAAAGTTAACAAGATAAAACGTTCATACTCACTTAAACGTACAAATTATCAAACCATTTTTAAATAAAGCAATTATTATTTTATCATCACTAGTACTTACAGACAAATCTCGTCCAAAGCAACAACATTTGAAGTTCCATATTAGCTAATAATACTTATTACGTTCAGCCATCTTGGATTTTTCGCTTCCTCAATTTTTCTTTTTCCAAAGTAATCAAAGCAATATTTCAAAGCAGCCACTAGAGGGAGCTCTAGGGCAATTTACAAAACTATATAATCCAGTGTAATTTATAAAAGTCTGAACCAGGGGCAAATCTAAAGGGTTGGTGTGGCCCAGCCTAAAATGATCTCTTGCTTGCCCAAGCGATCCTTTTTTTTTTCTAAATACTATCGTCACGTTTAGTGCAGAAGAAGCAGTTGGGAAAAAAAGCATTTTCTAAGGAAAGGGCGAAAACAATAAAGAAAGGGAAAAGAAGCTACCTCTTTCCTATTGGTGGAAAAATGTACCATGTCAACAATTAAAAAAAAAAAAAAAAAAAACACGTGGGATTTGGTTGTTTAGGAAGAGGGGAACGTTTTGGGAGTGACAGCAAGACAGTGTGAGTGAGAGAGAGAGAGAGCGCGAGTTTTGAGATGTGAAAGATTTGTGACGTGGAGTGTATAGTTGGTGTGTTGTCTTGTGTAGTTATTATGTTGTGTAGTCTTTGTTTTGTGTGAGGGCACTAATGAATGTCACAAAGGCAAATT